TCTTTACGTAATTACGAAAAAAACCTGTTGCATAATTGATCAAAAATGTTTGCGTAATTAAAAAAAAAAAACTTTCACTCAACATATAGGCCACCATCAGTAAATTATTCAAAATAAAAGGGTGAAGTCAAAAAGAAAATAGGAACCTCAAGTAGCTAAACGATTCTTATACATATAGACACATATGTATGTATGTACATATGTATAGATAGATGAGGAATTTATATGTTATTTGATTGAGTTTTTAAATTTTATTTTTTAATTTTTTTCCTTGAAAAAACAATACTTTTTGTTTTAGAATATATTTCTATTTTTTGAGTTAAAATCAAATTTATAATTTTTAAAAATATTTTTCTTGTACTCTATTTGCCAAACCCATTTTACAAAAAAAATAAATAAATAAATCTTTTCCACCCTTTTAAATTTTGAAATTAAGTTTTTGTTTTTTTTTTCCCTCTTTACTCACTGTCTTTTCTGTCACATTATTGACCTATTAATTTTTATTTTTATTTTATTATTTTATTTATTTATTTACTTTTGTAAAGGTTAAAGCGTGGCTATGTATAGTGAATGTTAGGCCACATATGTGAAAAGGAGGCTATGAATTATTGTAATGTAGCATTTTCATCCCATCAATTGAGCCGTGAATGGCATGTTCGTTTGAAATATTAAAAGTAGAATGAATTTCTCTCCCATCTAAAATGAAAGGTGTTATTTGAGTCAATGGGATTTATTGCAATTCCCATTTAGATAATCTAAATTGTTAATTTTATTGAATTTTATATGTATATTATTTAAAAAAAAAAGAAGAAGAAGATTGGATCGATTTGGTATTTGTAACTATTTATTTTATCATATTTGTACCAAAAAAAAAAAAAAGTTTATTTGTGAAAATACATTAACCATTAATTCTTTTGGAAAACAAAAAACAAAAAAAACCTCAATAAAATGAGGAGTTCCGAATATCAAACCAATTTAATTTTTTTTATGAATAATATATACGCTAAGTCTAATAAAAAGAACAGTTTGGATCATATAAACATGGGCTCATATAACATTCTCTAGTTCACATCTGGATAGGAGGGAAACCCAACATAAAGTAAAGAAAAAAAAACGAAGGCCTTTGATTTAATGGTTGTGTAACATTATTTATGATATGATGTAAGGTTACAGGATCAATTTTATGAAGAGAAGTTTGATATTTGTGGTTTCTATTTCTCTCCTATTATGGGGGTTATATATAGTTTATTTTCGGGTTAGTGGTGGTTATTCGGTTGATTGTTAGGTTTGGTGATTATTGGTTTTTAAGAATTATTAGGTTAGGGATCAGTTTGATATGATGCTTCTCATATTTATTATTATATCTTACTAATTGTAAGAAAAAAAAGAGAGCAGATATTTGGGTTTAGAAAGCAGATAAACGGGTTTAATTCTACCACATGTCAAAGAAAGTAATTCACCCAAAAAATGTCAAAGAAAATAAAAGATCAATGGTAAGAAATAAAGCAATTGGTCATAGCATTAAAATTATAAGAACCAAGTCTAATTAAGTTCAATTTAGTAATACTAATAATCAATCAACCAAATACCAGACAAATTTGAGCTCAAACAGGCCGCTTGAACAAGAAAGCATCACCATAAAATTAATCCGACAGAAAGAAAAAAAACAAACATAAAATTAGTCTCTTGAAGTTCAACACATGCTCATGCATTCATGATTTCCCTCCTAAGTAGATCCATTGATGAATTGACTGAAATCTCTTCTTCTCTTGGATGTAATCAATCATCTGTTAGTTACAATTGTAGAAACATTCAGCAAATTGGTAGCAATAATAGCCAGAAAAAAGAGAAAGATTACCTGATGATGGGTAAGAAATTTGAGTTGTTGATCAATTAACGGTGAGAATTGGGAGAAGCTGAGGAGGATGGTTTATTGGATAGTACCAGCCCATGATGCTCTTCTTCATTGTGAAACTGCAAAAGGGCTTCATGGGAGGAGGCAAATTGGGTGGTGGAGATTGAAGATTGTTGGATTGGTTGCCTAGTGTTGTGATGCAAATTGGAGTGAATTGGGTGGTCTTCATTCCAAGGAGCATGAACTGTAGGCAAAAAACTGGACTGAAGGGGACCCCTCTGTGAAGAAAGCACTGAGCTTTGGCAAAAAAATGGTTGTGGTGGCTGAAATGGCATGGACATCGCTTGTGATGAACTGAACATATATCCCTCTCTATTCTCTCCATTTCCGCCGCCATTCCACGACACCAATCTCGGATAATTAGCCTCAAAACCAACCGGAAAAAGAGTCTGATGATGATGGTGATGATGATCAGTTGAATCAGCTGTTGTGTGGTGGTGGCTTGAACTTGGGTCTTGTAAAGAGTGAAGAGAGAGGCAAAGATCTTCATGTGGGTATCCCTGAAAATTCATTGATGAAGTCTCAGAAGAACTTACGGGGAAAAACGATTTCATTGTGTCTGCATCATCTGCAATTGCAATGGATTGTGTATCCATTGATTGTGGCAAATGATGAAATCCATACCCACAAGATGAAGATTCCATAATTTCTGCATTAGGGTCTACATTGGGTGGTGGTGGTGGTGGTGGTGGCGGCATAACAGTGGTGGAATCAATTGGGTTCCATGGAGGTATCTCAGAAAGCTTATCAATAGCATTCTTAGCCTTCTTCATAAGCCAATCCACTGCTTTGCTGGGCCTGTCATAGCCCAACCTGTCCTGCACGTCGTAAAACTGAATTGCGGTGTGCGCCGATAACCGGACCCTCCGGTCCCTAGGCCCTTTTGATGTGACCACCTTGCTGTGCCGGTCTTTCCGGCCGGTGGACCTCAAAATGTGTCCTCCCTGGACCTGAACTATCTCTCCTCCTCCACTATTCTTCATTATCATTATGCCGCTATGTTTTTCATTACTTGTTTGGATGATTTCTCTTTTGCTAGTATTTTGATGCTAGTGGTAGTTTGTACTTTGTGATGGGATAGGATTGATTTGACCTTATTCTTCTTCTTCTTCAGATTCAGATCGTTTCTGATTTTCCTCTTCCAATTCTCAGAGTTGTTACACCTCTTTGTATGATTTGCTTTACCCAATGTTTCTGATGCTGCTGCTTCTTGTTCATCATCTGCAACTGTCACACTCTGAAACTCTGAAGAACTCTGCCAGTACTAATCAAATCTCGGAATCAACAACCCACTTGAAAAAAAAATATATGTATGAATGAACACAAAACCCAAAAGTAGTAGGCATAAAATTTTGATGTTGAGTTGAGACTTTTTATTGTTGGAGGGTTTTGAATGAGCATGTGAAGAGGTTTAGAGATAGAAAAAAGGAAAAGTGGAGATGGGTGGTGGCATCAAGACTAAAGTAAAGAGCAAAATTCTATCTTCTTCTCTGATGAGATGAGAGAGAGAGAGAGCTGTTTGATGCTTCTGCTAAGGGTGACAGTATATGGTCAGACATGAGATAAAAAGTTTGTTTCCTATCTATCTATAACTCCCACAAATGAACAAAGGTAATCCACTCTCTCTCATGATTTATTTGTGTTTTTTTTCTTTTCTTTTTTAAAATTTAAGTAAAAATGGTAGGGATGAATTAAGTGACTTAGTGGCCCCCCTCTCTCTCTCCCACCCACTCTCATTCAAGCTTTGATAATGATCTCCAACAGCTTTTATGGTTCCTTTTGATCTGTACTTTTGTATAGTTTCACTAAAAAGTAATTTTAGTTCACTAAAAGAAAGACAATAAACATGATTCCCTTAGTTACACTTTACCCATCTCTTCTTTTTCCAAGTATTGTACTCCTACTATCATTGGTTTGTACAAAATTTATTAGGTATATAATTTAAAATTTGTAAAGTAAAAAAAAAAAAAAAATCAATCCCATAAGCATAAGCATGAGAGTTTTTAAATACAAAATTTTTTAATTAGTCTATCGATCATATTTTAAGAAAATACTTCTTGCGTGAAGCAGTTATTCCATGTCTCATGAGCATAATCAAATGGTGTCCTTCAAGATTTGTAATTAGTGAATTCAATAAATCATCATTTTATGTTAATAATTGAGAAGTTTGTAGCATGATCATATAGTGTTCATGATGTACTGAATAATTTTTGGTCGCAAGGTTGCACTATAAAGATGCTATTCCCCCATAGCCTTTATAACCTATGGCTTATAAGTTGCCTTTTTATTAGGTAAGTTGTGGCCAAGTCTTCTCCATACAGGATTTGTAGAATGGGGCAAGAAGCTAGCATTGGGGTTGGGTTAGGCTTAAGATTGTTAGACTATTTTCTAGGAAAAAAAGAAAATAATAATATTTTTGTATGTTTAAATTGGCAAAACATTTCTGGTTCACATGTGTATTCATATATATACAAGTAGTAATGTTTAGGAAAACCTATCCAATGACTAATTGCAGGAAATGAAAATGATAACTTGAAAACAGGTTTCAGTTTTTATGCTTGCTTTTTTAGTGATAAATTAGAGTAACTTTTAAAAAAAATTGAAGAAAGAACTTTTATTTCTGTTTTTTCAAACACATGAGATGTCCCACACTCCAATGACATCCCATGTCCTTGCCCCAATTTTATGAGAAATTTAGGTTGAACACATGCTTAAAGGGTTCAAGCGTCAGAATTTTTAATAGCTTGATTAGCTGGGATTCTGAATTATAAAACGGTATTGGGTGCAGAAAATTTATTTACATTTACATATATTAAGCCTTTTTTGACAAGAGATTAAAAGCATTGACTTTTAATTTTTTTAGAGTCAAATCACCTCTCTAATTTTTTATACTTTTTTTTTCAAAAAATGTAAAAAAAATAAATAAATTAAAATTAACTTTTAACATACTTTCTAAAGCAAAGCTGTTGGAGTTTAATTGGATTATGATAAAGTTAGGTATATTATTATCCAATAAAATGAGCCCAATCTAATTGGTTCTAAACCGAAAGTAGTGGTAAAGATATGTATACTTCAATAATTTATCCTATTTTTTATACTTATGTGAGACAGCGTGTAAAGAAGTAATACTAACATTCTTTTTTAAAAATTTTATAAACTGATTTGTATTTGTTTTTAGAAAAACATAAATTACAAACGCGTTTGGTTTGAACAATATGTTTAAAAAAATTTAAAAATATAAACTAAAAATAAGTTTGTTCAGGCCTAAAATATTTATATATATATTTATTATTTATGACAATGGGATCACACACATTATAATTGAATTTTTTGTGGCATATTTTTATAATGAATATATAATCATTTTAAAGATTATTTAGGTAGCGTTTGATAACGTTTACACTTTCGGTTTATGTTTTCAAAAATTTTATAAATTGATTTGTGTTTGTTTTTAGAAAAACATAAATTACAAACGCGTTTGGTTTGAACAATATGCTTAAAAAAATTTAAAAATATAAACTAAAAATAAGTTTGTTCAGGCCTAAAATATATATATATATATATATTATTTATGAAAATGGGATCACACAAATTATAATTGAAAAAAAAATTAATTAAAAAAATAATTGAAAAAAAAAATTATTTGAAAAAAATTATTTGCAAAAAAAGGAAAAAAAATTAATTAAAAAAAATAATTGAAAAAAAATTAATTGGGAAAAAAAATTAATTGAAAAAAAGATCAATTGAAAAAATATATTTGAAAAAATAATTAATTGAAAAAAAAATTAATTGAAAAAAAATTAATTGGGAAAAAAAATTAATTGAAAAAAAAATTATTTGAAAAGAAAATCAATTGAAAAAAATATTTGAAAAATTAATTAATTGAAAAAAAAATTAATTGAAAAAAAAAATCTAATAACGAAAAGCAGTTAGAAGAATAAGATATTCTTAAGCAAAAAAAGTAATATGTCTTTCGCAATTCATTATAACAAGATAACATTAAGGGACCATCTTAGTTGATAAGGGAATATACTCCTCTCTTCATTGATTACGGTTCGAACCCTTACTGTTAAAGTGAAAGTCTAAAGATTTAAGTGAATCGACTAACTTCCTCAGTTTGATTTATAAAGATGGATCCTAAAAATCTTACCTTGAGCTGTTTTAGACAAAAAATTAAAAATTAAAAAAAAAAAATCATTATAACAAGGGACTGGGATTGCGGTATTATTGTATTGTTCATCTTCTCACCGCCAATGTCTTTATGTTGAGACACGTGGATTTTGATGATTTTCTCTTCCCTACTTTTAGGGAATAATATTGGTAATCGTACCATATATTCATATCATGTTTTAACTTAATATTTATTAATTAAAATAATAGAACATAATTTTTTTTTTGGTTGAATTTAAAAAATGGGATATTTATACACAAGTCTTAATTTGTAAACGTATACTCTATTAAGTTTTAACTAAGATTTTTTGAACATTTAAGTCTCATTAAATTTTTAATAGTCAGAATTATCCTTTAATAATAATTGTTTATCGTTTATGATTACCTATAAAGAAATATAATGATTTGACATTTATTTGATTTTTAGAACTTTAAAACATCAACTTTCAAATTGAAAAAATTAAACAAAAATTATATGCAAAAAAAAAAAACTAAATTATTTGAAAAAACTGAATTATTTTTTTTGTGTAAAAATAAAAATTTTGTGTCTATAAAGAAACATTGATGTACAAAAAAGAATGATAATATTCTCAGTTTTAAAAATGAAAAAAACTGATAATATTTTTTATTTTATTGGATAGTTGAATCAAACCAATAAATAAAATGGCAAAATGTTTAATCTCATGCTCTGATTTTTATCAATTAGTGAACATTGCTATGTAAAATTGATAATATTCTTAGGGATGGTTTGGGAAGTGGTTTGCCTTTTTGGCTTTTTTGATTATTTTAGTCAGGGCTAAAAAGCTTGATTTGGGAAGAATTTTTTAGTTTTTTTTGACTTTTTTGATTTTTTTGGTGAGAGAAGAGTGTAATGATTATGGGTTGGATGTGATGTTTTGTTTTTTTATTGCTAAAATAGCTTATTTTGTCTTTTATGGCTAAAATAGCCAAAAAAAGGCCAATCTAACTCTTCCCATTAATTCAAAAAATCTGATATTTCTTAATTTAAATTGAGAAAACCTGATAATATTCTTAATTTTACTAAATAGGACTTATTAATTCAAAAAATCTTAAGTAAGAGCTGAGTTATTATAATATTTGTGTTGACTTATTTTTCCTACAAAGAAAAATATCATAAATGCGAGCATTGAAAAATCCTTACAGATTAAATTCAAGCCAATTATCAAGCGATTGCGTTGACGGTTCTTTTGTCTCAACAAAGAGGACTTCAAAATTGCCAAGTGTAGAAAAAAGAAAAATTAAAAGAAGAATGAGGGAGACGGAGAAAGACGATTGAGTGAACAATCAAAGTAATCATTACTTACCTCTACTCCTATACTTCGCAAAGGAAGTGCTAAAAATAAATGCTTCGAAGTATAAATCTATGTAAAACTACTCCTACGATAAGAAAAATGACAATAAATATTGAAATCAATTGTCTTTGATTTGAATTATGGATCTTTACAATGTAGCCATTAATGGCTATTTATAGAGAAAAAAATACAGCAATAACTACTTAGTAACTACTCATTTCTTTCATCTTCATTCTTGCCTTGCCATGTGTCATTCTACTCATCCACTTTGTCCTTCCACTCATCCACTTTGTCCTTCATATTCTCCATCATCTCTATAACTTCTTTTAACTTCTAAATGAATAAGAGGACACCACATGTCTTGAAAATAATAATAATAATAATAATTTATAATGCCAACCATTTGTAAATAAGACTTTTAAGAAATTTTAAAAAATAACTTAATAAGTATCCGGTAATAAATTGCGTGCCTCTAAAATTACCAAAGAACCTCTCTTACTTTTAGGCCAAGTTTGGCATCTCATAAATAATTCATCTTTTTAATTTTTTTATTTATTTTTATCACATCACCTCTCTATTTTTCTGCACATCTTTTCATAAAAAGAAAAAAAATACACTTATTTAGATCATCCCAAACAACCTCTTAGACATTATCTGACTTTCAATGGATCGCAAAGTTGAAAATGACACTTCGAAATATTTTTCCTATTTATTATTCTTTCCATACCATTAATTAATAGGAGAAATTGTAATTGAGGGTAGGTTTCCAAAAAAAAAAAAAAAAAATCAAATTAGTGGTAAATTTTGTCAATTTTAATAATTAAAATTAAAATTATTTATTTATTTATGAATTCGTAAAAAATCATTAAGTCGAATATAAATTTGCATAAATTCATGAAAACTTACATGATTTTGTAAATTTACGTAAATTTATATTCAATTTATGTATTGTAATCACTTACGTAAATTCGTAAAAAATTATATAATTTTTTGATAGGGTTGCATACGATGCGCAATACACACCAAAACATTTCCCAAAGAATAATGAACACATATATCTTGCAATGTACATTTAATTTATTTTTTTAACTTTAAAATTATATTATTTTTTTATGTAGATGTCTATTTTTGATAAAAATTAT